GGATGTCTTGATGATGATGAACTCACTAAACATATAGATTTCTATTTTTCCAGAGGGAGGGGCCTTCCAAAGGATGTCTTGATGATGATGAACTCACAAAACATATAGTTTTCTATTTTCCCAGGGGGAGGGGCCTTCCAAGGGATGTCTTGATGATGATGAACTCACTAAACATATAGATTTCTATTTTTCCAGAGGGAGGGGCCTTCCAAAGGATGTCTTGATGATGATGAACTCACAAAACATATAGTTTTCTATTTTCCCAGGGGGAGGGGCCTTCCAAGGGATGTCTTGATGATGATGAACTCACTAAACATATAGATTTCTATTTTTCCAGAGGGAGGGGCCTTCCAAAGGATGTCTTGATGATGATGAACTCACAAAACATATAGTTTTCTATTTTTCCAGGGGGAGGGGCCTTCCAAGGGATGTCTTGATGATGATGAAATCACAAAACATATAGTTTTCTTTTTTCCCAGGGGGAGGGGCATTCCTAGGGATGTCTTGATGATGATGAACTCACAAAACATATGGTTTTCTATTTTCCCAGCGGGAGGCGCCTTCCCAGGGATGTCTTGGTGATGATGAACTCATAAAACATAAATATTTCTGTTTTCCCAGGGGGAGCGGCCTCCCAATGGATGTCTTGATGAAGATGAACTCACAAAACATAAAGATTTCTGTTTTCTCAGGGGGAGCGGCCTTCCAATGTATGTCTTGATGATGATGAACTCATAAAACATAAAAATTTCTGTTTTCCTAGGGGGAGCGGCCTTCCAAGGGATGTCTTGATGACGATGAAATCACAAAACATATAGTGATGATGAACTCATAAAACATATAGTTTTCTGTTTTCCTAGGGGGAGCGGCCTTCCAATGTATGTCTTGATGATGATGAACTCATAAAACATAAAGATTTTTGTTTTCCCAGGGGGAGCGTCCTTCCAATGGATGTCTTGATGACGATGAAATCACAAAACATATAGTTTTCTATTTTCCCAGCGGGAGGCGCCTTCCCAGGGATGTCTTGGTGATGATGAACTCATAAAACATAAAGATTTCTGGTTTCCCAGGGGGAGCGGCCTTGCAATGGATGTCTTGATGATAATGAACTCACAAAACATATAGTTTTCTATTTTTCCGGGGGAGGGGACCTTCCAAGGGATGTCTTGATGACGATGAAATCACAAAACATATAGTGATGATGAACTCATAAAACATAAAGATTTCTATTTTTCCGGGGGAGGGGACCTTCCAAGGGATGTTTTGATGATGATGAACTCACTAAACATATAGATTTCTATTTTTCCAGGGGGGAGGGGCCTTCCAAGGGATGACTTGATGCTGATGAAATCACAAAACATATAGTTTTCTTTTTTCCCAGGGGGAGAGGGCCTTCCAGGGGATGTCTTGATGTTGATGAACTCACAAAACATAAAGTTTTCTTTTTTCCCAGGGGGAGGGGCATTCCTAGGCATGTCTTGATGATGATGAAGTCACAAAACATATAGTTTTCTGTTTTCCTAGGGGGAGCGGCCTTCCAATGGAGGTCTTGATGATGATGAACTCATAAAACATATAGATTTCTATTTTTCCAGGGGGGAGGGGCCTTCCAAGGGATGTTTTGATGATGATGAACTCACTAAACATATAGATTTCTATTTTCCCAGCGGGGGGGGCCTTCCCAGGGATGTCTTGATGATGATGAACTCACAAAACATATAGATTTCTGTTTTTCCGGGGGAGAGGGCCTTCCAGGGGATGTCTTGATGTTGATGAACTCACAAAACATATAGATTTCTATTTTTCCGGGGGGAGGGGGCTTCCAATGGATGTCTTGATGATGATGAACTCATAAAACATAAAGATTTCTATTTTTCCGGGGGAGAGGGCCTTTCAGGAGATATCTTGATGATGATGAACTCACAAAACATATATTTTTCTATTTTTCCAGGGGGGAGGGGCCTTCCAAGGG